TGATAATAATAATAACTGAGACATTAATCGTTAATATGCTACTCTATGGGCATTCGATTGCCGGTGAAATATTCGGCTGGAAAGGTCAAGTACTGTGAAGCGGTGAGTCAACAACAAGTTTGAACCATATGAGGCATCTGTATTTTGAACAGAAGTTGCTCAAGTCTCCCAAGGGGGTGAACACTTCTCCCGCAACATGGCGGGGTGAATTCGGGGCATGTAAGGTCCCGCAAAACGTTGGTCAGGGTCCAGGGGAGAAAATAGTCCGCAGACTGCGGCGTTGTGCTTTCATGGAGCGCCGGAAATCTCGGCGTTCCTGACGAAGCAACTTAAGCCATTCTTCCTTGTCTACCAATGACTTGCGAAGGACTCGTCGACGGCTTGTTAGCATCGGTCGAATTTCCTTAGGCAAGTCATCGAGACCCATATCAAACTGTGAGTGAATCCCCTCATTGACAGTACTGTGACGTTCACATAATTGAACGTTATCATCCGAATGTTGAACGGAGTTCCGTTGCTCCCACATGTAGAAGCCGATGGAGATCAGCTGTTGTGAGAGGCGGGACGCCCAAAGAGAGATAGATCGTCGACATCTTATCTCGTCATAATATTGTTGTTGGAGTGGAAGCCAAGACGAGGCGACACGTCCCTCCAAAAGGCCTTGAGACCCAATCACCTGCTGAGCCAAGAAGGCCTGCCGAACCAAAGAGGAGATGGGCCTTGGGGGAAATGAAGGAGGTGTGCAAACGCCCTGAAGAAGCTGTAGGATCGCTATTTTGATGGAAGGGCCTGTCAGTTGCAGGTCTAGCCACGCGGAGAAGGCTGTTGCCAAAGCAGCGCGGCAGCGGGGAACATGCAGATGATCCTCGAAGTCGCCGCAGCGTGGGCAAGCTGCTGATGTCTCCAGACCCCATAGAACTTTAAATTTGCCTGTGATTGAATGTTAGAATTAAGCAAAATGTGCTCTATCGTGAATGCCTTTAGCGCTCAGAACAAACTCTCTGCAATCTAAATTTGAAATCGACTGTACAACACTTTCACAACAATAGTTCTCCTGTGTCTAGGTATACTTTGAGTGAAATTGTTCCTATTTGATTAATGTTTGGCTTGAATTGATGATTCAATCACAAAAGTAAGTTCAACAATTTCCCCTTGGAAAATCCCTTGTTTACAGAACTTGATTCGACCTCTATGATAATTCTGTGTTGGATGCAGTACTTTGGGACATCTGGTATTATTCCCTACTGCATTGTACACAACATCAATATCTCACTTGTATAGGGTCATTCCCTTTTTGTGTGGATATAGATTGTCCGACAGACTTGCGTCCGGCATACTTGCGTCAAATCCCGACATCACGATCAAAAGCGTTCAATCTTGGAGCAATCACATTGAAGTTGATCGACTTTCCATCTCGAATTGATTTCACCATGTCTTTGGATTATTTCATTCCAGAAGCTTGGATATAATCAATCACTCCCATGCACCTCGCAAAATGACCAGACCAACCTTTGAAATGCTACTGAAAGCATCTTTGGTGAAGGTGGAATTGAGAAAAGGAATGTTAAGCAACTAATACATGCGCTATCAGAATTCCAAAACGATTTTTCTGGCAAAGACCTATACTTAGATCTGCTAGAAGCTGCATGTTAGAATAAAGCAAAATGTGCTCTATTGTGAGTGCCTTTAGCGCTCAGAACAAGCACTCTGCAATCTAAATTTGTAATCGACTGTTAGAATAAAGCAAAATGTGCTCTATCGTGAGTGCCTTTAGCGCTCAGAACAAACTCTCTGCAATCTAAATATGTAATCGATTTTACAACACTTTCACGACAATAGTTCTTCTGTGTCTAGGTATACTTTGAGTGAAATTGTTCCTATTTGATTAATATTTGGCTTGAGTTGATGATTCAATCACAAAAGTAAGTTCAACTTGATTCGACTTCTACGACAATTCTGTGTTGGATGCAGTACTTTGGGACATCTTGTATTATTCCCTACTGCATTGTACACAACATCAATATCTCACTTGTATAGGGTCATTCCCTTTTTGTGTGGATGTAGATTGTCCAACAGACTTGCGTCCAGCATACTTGCGTCAAATCCCGACATCACGACCAAAGTTCGATCGTACGTGTCAAAAACTTCATACTTGAATAGTTTCTTTTTGGAATGTAAAAACTCATATCCCAACAAGCATGAATCAATCAAAATTGTGCAGCCCTGCTGGACAACAAGGCAGAGAAGATGAACCTCGATTTGGAATTCATCGTTTCAGCCCAAGTAATTAAGAACTTGGTGGAATGGGAATTTTGTTTGTGCGGCAACGTTGAAAAGGGCTTGAACGTGTTTAACAGTGTCTGTTTCCAGCACTACAAAAATGCAACACAATCAACGATTACAACAAGAGCGATTTTTGGTTGACGGGCAAAAAGACGACCGCCTCCATGAAAGATCATCAAGCCCACGACAAGATCAACATCGCTACACTGGAAGAACTACTATGGAGTGAATTAAACGGACTGGCAAACAGCCTCCTAAGCACACAAAGGGCGAATGCAAGGAGAACCGTGAACGTAAGCATTCCCATTGTAAGCTGACTGCCAAGGAAGCAACTGCAATGAAGGATTATGTAAATAAGAATAAGTGAGATGGAGGTCGGGAATTATCGGATTCTTGCAGGCTGTCTCAACCGGACCAACTTTTGTTACAATCTACTTTAATTGGAGGTAGTGCTAATACTACAGGTGAGCTGGTTGCGTTGGCTAATGAAAATTATTTCAAACATGGTTTGCAAGTCACTGCTCGTTTATTCCGTTCAGATGATGCTGCACCAGACATTGATAAGCTTCCACACCCTGCCACACCAATGCTATACCGAGTAATGAAAAATGGTGGTCCATTCGGAGCCATGGAGCCGAGCCAACTTGACATGGGAGTAGCTTGGGGCTGTAATGCATCAGCAAACGAATTCAAAGAGTTTCTGATGGAGGAGTTTTTGGATTTTGGAAGGAAAGAATTTTGGATCCTACTTCCATATGACGCCATCAAGGACGAGAAAGGACTTTGCCTTTCTCCAATTGGCTGCGTACCACAAGATTGCTGATCATTCCTTCTGGGGACTCAACGAGAAGACAATGAAACTTGCCCTAGAGGGCGCTATGCAATTTGGCACGGCCCCACTACGCATCCGAGAGGCACTCATGAAGGCAAACCCAGACTATGGGCCAGTTTACACATACAAGAATGACATGTCTGGTGGCTTCTACCGCATCCAACTGTCAACTACTGGCGCACTCAAGCTTGGGGTCATTTTACCGCGTTTTGAGGGACTTCCACAGTTGGTTGCACTGCCGCTTGTGCTCCCAATGGGTTGGACAGAACGTCCGCCGTGGTTCTGTGCTTTTACGGAAACGGTAGCCGACTTGACAAATGTTGACTTGCAACAAAACAAGCGAGTGCCACCCCATCCTTTGAGAAGGGCAGCAGCCATCACTGACTTTGAAGTGAAGGACACACAAGCCGTGAGACCAATACCTAAATCTCACCAGACACTGACTTACTGAAAAAGATGGAAGTATTTGTGGACAATTTTGTTGGAATGGACCAAGACCATCCGAGCAATCCCTTGACAAATCAACAAGCCGTCCTCAGCCACAATACTGACAAGGTCTTCCAACAAAATCAACCCACTGACAACAAATGGCGAAAAGAGCCACAGTCACAATCAAAGATGGCCAAGGGAGATGCCTTGTGGCACACAGTCAAAGAAGCCTTGGGTTGGAACTGGGGGTGCGACAACCAAGACCGTGTCACTCCTAGGCGAGGTCCTGGATTGCAAACGAGTCTCCCTGAAACGATGGCAGCAGATGTCAGGCGTCTTACAAAGCCTGCAGCCAGAAATGTCGGGCAGTGAGGGACATTTCTCCTTGCTGCAGGATTCACTGATTTGGCAGGTGGATTGTAGCATGCAGTTGACTCATGAGGTCTGTGAGCAACTGGAAATCTTCCAAGATTTTCTTCATGGTCATGCAAAGCGCCCCACAACACTAGAAGAACTGGTACCAACTAACATGTTGGCGCTTGCAATGCGGCAAAGTCTGGAAGGGAAGGAGTGTGGTTCACAGATGATAAAGAGGCCATCGTCTGGCGCGAACCATATCAAGAAGAGGTGAAAAAGGAGGTCATTTCAGATCACAATCTGACAGGAAAACTTACCAACTCAGACTTGGAACTGGAGGGAACCGTTCTCCACCATTTTGTCCTTGGAAAGATTGCCCAGGTGGAAGGTGAAACCACTTATACTGGCTGCAAGAACACACCGGCAGTGTTGTGGCCCACAAAAGGATAGTCCACATCTCAAAAAGCAAGAGCGAGAATACTACGGCTAGAGGCAGGATTGCAGTGGGAACAAAGAGCACATCATCGTATTGGGCATCAAACGTGGAGTCTGTCCTTCAAGAGTTGCAAAGACACACTCTGTCTGGACCACATAGGTTGCCATCTGTGACAGCCTCATCCTCGACCCAGGATTGTCAATGGTTTAAGATCCCTTGCTCATCATCATCCTCTTTGGAACCCAATGGCGCCGTGGACAAATTGCCTCCAGTAAGAAACAGGTTCAGGGTCAAACGGCTGAAGATACCATGCGCCAGGTGGGCCAGGCCTTTTCTTCATTGGGACTGCTTGATCCGAGGATGAATTGATGTGCGACGGGCACAATGGACTTTCGTTGGACACCACTGCTGAAAAGTTGGAAGAAGGAGGATCCAGCAGCACAACAAGTACACCCACTGCCAAAGTCCTTAGTAAGGCAAGCTTCAAAGCATGCCACAAAGCCCACAAGTACACATGCCGCAAAAGCAATGAACCAATTGATGTGGTTGGGATTTTTCTTTTTGTTACGTCCTGGCAAATTTCTGTCAAAGGCAGGAACACAATTTCCCTTCAAGTTGAAGCAGGTGTTTTTTAATATCAACAACGCAGAATTTCATGGCGACATCATTCCCCTTTGCCTCCTGGACACGTCACTTTTGAAATTATTTGACAAACAAAAAAATGTGATGCCAGACAAAAAGGTCAGTTTGAGCATGTCATTTAATGGTGACAACCCAACAGCCACGCTGATTGCTATTGTCAGGCACCTTCAACAGAGTCAACACACAACTGGCGACACTCCACTGTTCACCTACTACTCCGAGTTTGGAGTTGCTTGCAATGTCACAGATCGAATGATGACAAATATTTGAGAGCAGTTGCTCTCTCAGTGGAGGTCGATCGACCTCCCACAAATGCACCGGGGCTACTGCGCTTCTCGAAAGGCAATATCCCAACTAGTCTCATGAAACTACTTGGTCGATGGCGCTCAGTCCGAGCCTTTGATGCATTGCTTGACCAATGTTCTTGTTGATCACGTCGGACACTAGCATTTTTTTTCACCCACCACACCCTGGACAGCAACAAGATGGCCGAGTGGAGGAAACCAGCGCTTGCGCTGGGGGATTGGGGGCCAACAGCTAGTAAAAACTGTCAGCCCAAAAACATCATTGAAACTCTTTTAGGCCCAATTGAAGCCTGGGAAATCCAAAGCAATTGAGAAGGATGAGCAATCGCTGCAGGTGTTGGCTAGCAAAGGACGGACTGATCAGAACGCCCAAGTACGTATGCAAAGAAGGTACAGGAGCAGGACAGTGGAAAGCTACATACCAATTGAGGTTGTGAAAGAAGTTGGTACCAAGCTGCAGCTTAGTTGCAGCTCATTCCTTTGAAAAGACTGCTCTGTGTTTGACAGAGTGAATTTGAAGTCTAGGAATAGATAGTTATTCAGATTACCCTAGTCCCACCTCACCCTTGGAGGAAACCAGCGCTTGCGCTAGGGGATTGGGGGCCAACAGCTAGTAACAACTGTCAGCCCAAAAACATCATTGAAAGTCTCTTAGCCCAATTGGAGTCTGCAAAACCCAAAGCCATTGAGAAGGATGATGACTTCTATCAAAGGTGACACACCAGTACAGTGTACAGACAGTGAGGACTCCAAGAAAGATGGTCCTGCTGGCGCAAAATCAAGGCAAAAGCCCCCCTCTGCCCCTATGAATTACATGTCTTGCCCCCATCAAGCGCATTCTTAAGGATAGTGGACCATGTACGACATGAAATATATTCAACGGATCAAAAAGCGTCAGATGGAATTCAGAATTTCCTTTCTCTTTTTTTCTCCTTCCCTTTCTTTTTTCCTTTTCCCCTCGTCTTTTGTCCCCCAATAATTGTTAAAAATAAAAAAATGAAGAACAGAATACAATTACACTAGAGGACGCTAATCATAAAACATTGCTTCTCCATATATTGTATTCAACCAAAAAGAGACAGAGAAAACCACTTAAAGAATCTCAAAACCTTTCAATCTCTTGTTGTGATGTTCTCCTGCCGGGATTTAGCTCGATTTCTAATTTTGAGGGCTCCTGCCCTTTGGCTTCCTTGGATAGCAGTCATGCGGTCAAAAACCAAGAACGGGAGTCTCCAATAGCCAGTTGGCCATCAGGGCTCGTGTCTTGAAGTTGATAATGAAAATTGTATATGTTGTGATAGGAGGGAAATATGTTGTATTTGGGGAATAAAATAGGGATTTAGTTTGGGGAGATGCAAAAGGTGAAACTTTTCTCTTTCCCAAAAGTGTTTCCCAAAATTTTTTCCTTAAAAAATTCCCGTTATATCTCCCTTTTGTAGCCGGGAGATGAGTCAAAATCTCAATGCAAGCCCCCCTTTGTTCCCCAGAAATTTTACGAGACCCTTTTTTTTGGAGTTGACACACCAGCAAGTCTGGCTACATAAATGCCCACAACAAAACAGTGCTATGAGGATTTTGAACCACTCCTGCAGTGAAATTGAAAGATCATTCTATGAGTCAATCATTGACATCCTCCATTGAGTTCCTTTAAGATGCAGCTTTTGATGCGGCTTTGGAGAAAAGAGTTCATATTTTGTTTTCCAGATTTTGAATGAAATGAGAATGAGAATCGAAAGGCTTCTCATTCTCTTTGTCATACACAAATGTCGTTGTTCAATGGGAATACTTAGGAAACTATTTATTTGCATTTATCAGCTTCAATAGAAAGAGATATAAAGTAGTGTTTTTTGTTGGTGAAATGTATTGTTCTTTGTTGGCAACGTAGTGTTCTTTGTAGCTAATGTAGTGTTTTTTGCTGCTTTGTTAGTAGTACTGCGTTAGCAACATAACAGATTTTACGTCACTAACGTACAATTTTCCTGTAGGTTGGCTACATGCCTATTTTTGTCTAATGATTAAAACCTAGAATAGATCAGTTGACTCATTTCAAGTTTTTGTGAAAAAAGAAATTACCGCACATAGTCTGCAAAGGGGCCTGTCTTCTTTTCCCATAGCAGCTTTTCTTACTACTTTGTGGGTGTGCATGTGAAAATTGAGATGTATGGCTGGGTTTGGTGTTTGGGTGCCAACAATTAAGCTATTTATTTAGTGCACATTTTCCTGTAGCTCCGTGTTGCACCATGTTGCAGTTGATGACATAAATCTATTTTCCTTTTTCCGCCAACTCAATTGACCCAACATTTGACTTGTCTTCTGTTTTAGACTTTAGGGCACATGACTGAATGCACTGCCGAGTCCCGAGCAGATGTATTAGAGCGATCAAAGGCCAACGGTCATCACCAAATATTCAGCCCAAGATCATCCATCATCAACTCACAGCTGCTTCAGACCCCGTAAATACACCCCAATAGCAATATCAATCACCGTCTATCATGTCCAACAGTAGCTACATCAATGCACTAGTACGCTCTCTCTACGATGAAAGTCAGGAGCATAACAATAGTATGTTAAGTGGAAGCCAGCCCAAGATTCAAAGCCCCAATGCATTTGATTCACAGTCAGAACCACCAAGTTTGTTCACACGCTCAGCCAACACATGGGGAGGACAGTTCAACCCTGATCATTTCCAGCGCAACGCGTTTGCTATGATGTCAGCAAGACCTGTCAATATGGAGAATGCAGCGTTTGCCATGATGACTGCTATGTTGCATCACAAATATGAAAAAACAAAAAAAGAAGCAATTGCATCAACGAGAAATTGTATTGGGTCAACAGAAGCCATGTGGACGAGACCATCACCTACAAGCAGTATACCATCGATACTGCCATCTTAGCTCCAACCACAGAGTCTCCGGAAATCAAGCAAGCGATCCTACAACAGTCTGTGAACTCCATCAAGCAGACAAAGACAACAATGGAACACAAAGTGGATTTCTTGATGAAACGCAGCACATCAGTGTGCCCAGACGTTTGCTCGCAAGTCAACGCCGCCGCCAACGAATTGTTCAACGTAACTAGTGACGTGTACAAGCTCACAATGTTGGTGAAATAGGATCCTACTAGATAGTGAAGTTGGACATTTGTGGTATCGAACGCCAACGGGAGTATGTACAGAGATGGATAAGTATTGAAGGTAGATCCGGATCTGTGACTAGTTTGTGAAGAACACGTGTGTATGTGCTTTATGCGCCACGACAGCTGGTGAGAGCTGACGCAGATGGCTTCCAGAAACGATTTTTTGTACCTGCTTTTGGAGATCATTGTTGATTGACTTCTGGCAAGAATAGCACTAGAATAAGATCTAATAGGAAGTGGTGAGACTGTTCATCCGCAGGTAGAAGCCCAGCATCACTGGCACCTGTTCCTATTATAGATTTGAGCTCAGTATACTCCAGAGGTGGCTAGAGCGTTGAGGCTCTCATTACAGCTATGGAGTTGATTATCTGACAGTTGATCAACAAAGGTAACTTTTGAACCTTGCAACTACAGAGCAAGATGCCTGGTGGAAGAAACCAAGGCAGAGGCTGTCGAGGAGGAAGATCTGCACAGCAGACTGGTTGAGGGTCTCACAGAAAGAAGGCCGATCGACCAAAGCAATACCATCCTCACAATCCTGACTTTACTCATGGACAGGTGACAATATACTTGCTTGAGGTTATTGCACTCAAGAGCTTGGACTACGCTCAAGATATGATCTGGAGTGTGAGAAATATGGCCCATGTGGACTTTGAGGCTTTAAGAGGTACTCAGACGGTCTACAAGCCGGGAAAGAATGATTCCCAGTTCCACAAAAGTTTGAGACAGACTCAACTTGATAGGAACTGGGAAAATCTAAATTACAAGATTGACAAGAGAGAGGTGATCTACACCAGGAACCAGTTTACCGTGGCTGCAATCATCACTAAGCATTTCATCACTCAAGCAATGAGAGATAAGTTAAGCAATGAAACTGATTGGTTGGACCTCAAGGAAGACCATGTGACGCTGTTGAAGCGTATGAAGACATTCATGACCATCACAGATGAGACCAAGTGGCAACACTTTGGACTCATGGAATCTCTCAGGAGTCTTGCAAACTGCACTCAGAAGCAAAATGAGTCTGTGAATGATTACAGAAGGCGGTTTGAAGCTCAAGCTGACCAAGTATTCGAAATCCTTGGCAACATGCATGTCTATGCAACCAAGACAATGGGGTACCTAGATCTGTACAATCCGGAGGACGATCCGGACGGCACCAAGGCAGTCCAAGAAACGGTCAAGAAAGAAGTTCTGGAAACAATTAAAGCAAGTGCGTTCTTTTACAACTGCGACAGGTCTCGCTTTCAAAGCATGTTGGACAAGGCAAACCAGACCTATGCCATTCGGATGCCGCGTCTAGCGTTACAGGTACGCAATCAACTGGTCAACAACATCAAAGCAATATGAGTGGAAATGGCACTTCTGGTACTACTGATGTACCCGGCTCTTATGTGGTACGAGGCAGATCTGTTGCTGATGTACAATCTAATGGTAGAATTACAGGATGGAACCTTGCACAAGTACGTGTGAGACCAATTCTGAAGAAGAAAACAGTCTCCACTGAAGATAGAGGAGAGATGCTAATGAAGAAATGGCAAACACAATTAGAAGCTAACAGTGATTTCAAGGACGATGACCGCATGGTCAGCAATGGAAGTGTGAACATGCAGATCTACAAGTCGACCTCGAAAATGGATTCATTGAAGCACTGTTTTCAATGGACCAAAGATAACAAGAAACGTTTCAAGTCCAATGGAAGTAAACACTGGGATATCAATCTTGGTATGCATCTTGATTCTGGATCTACGCTCAGCCTACGAATGAACGAAGATTATGCCAAACCAGGCGCTGTGTCTGACCTGGATTACATGTTCAACTGACGAAAGTGATGGATTACAAATGGATGCTGAAGCAGACATAATGGAAGCAAGGTTTGACAGGGACAGGAACCCAAGATACAATAGCGAAGAAAATCAATATGAAGATGAGCTGGAGGATGAAATGTTCGATATAATGTTCAAGAAAATTAAGGCTAGACAAGATGCTGAAGATCTGATGGACGAAGACTACCAAGAACATGAATGGATAGCTGGCAATGAAGACTTGGACTACAAAGACGATTGCAAGTCTGAATTAGACGATGATGAAGCCAAGCAGATGCTAGACAAACTGGCAGCTGAGTTAGTGGAACTTGGGAGACCTGACGAAGAAGAAGTTCTGTTCAACTTTGATGAGGAAGGTGAAGATGATGATAACACACAAGAAGATGTGGCAGTTGAATCAGGAGAGGAAGATAGTGTTGCTCGTGCAAGAGTGAGATTCGCGGACACAGATGATAATGAGTCTGACACCAAAGGAATTGTGAGAAGTCACAGTGACGACGGTGTAGAGATTGGAGCGAAAAGGGTCTTTGCCCAAGACACAATTGATCCTATTTCTCACAAGGAGTCAAAATGAGACCAACTGAGAGATACAGAGCAGAGAAATCAAGATTTGGACAGGCATACCTACAAAGAAAGAATCCGCCTGTGCCAAACGTTTTGAGATACAGGTGTGCAATGAGAAGAAAAGCACAAATGAAAAGACTCCGGGTCTTGATATATTAAGCAATCAAAAAAAGGATTGACACGCAAAGAAAGGGAGCACAGTTGCAAGGGAACCATAAGTACAAGCGTTCCATCCGAGAACGCATGCACAATTTGGCATTCCAGCAAGTCGGAAACACAAACAAAGGCAAATATGACACAGACGAGGTGTTGGTAGTCGCTTGTGTTATTCAACAGATATGTGATGGTGTCAACGGTATCAATGGGCAAGACGGAGTCTTGTTCATTCAACAATACTATCTGAATAAAGGACTGAAGATATTCAAGGAGCGAGGTAAAGACGCGGCCATGAAAGAACTTAAGCGCAGTTGCTGGACACCAATCAATATTGAGAAACTAAAACCAACTGAAAGAAAGAAGGCCGTAAATGCAATGATGCTACTAGCTGAAAAGAATGATGGTGTAACAATCAAAGGGCGTTGTGTATTCAAAGGTAATGAGACCCGGGATTGTTTCTTGTGAGGACACTGCAAGTCCTACAGCTTTGCATGAAGCTATTATCTGCACAGGTGTAATTGATGCCCATGAGGGTAGAAACGCCATGTCAATGGATATACCTAACGCATTTATCCAATCATTGATGCCCGAGCAGGATGAAGGAGAAGATCAAGTAATAATGAAAATTACTGGACTGCTAGTTGATTATATGATTGACCTAGATCCAACGCATCGGGATTTTGTAGTATTCAAAAATGGACGTCGAGTGATCAATGTTGTGATCCTCTGTGCTATTTATGGGATGTTACAGGCTTCGTTGCTATGGTACCAAAATCTGAGGGCATCATTGGAAGAATACGGATTCGTGTTTAGTGTATACAATCCGTGCATTACAAATATGATGGTCAATACAAGCAATTGACTAAAAGGTTTCATGTTGATGATGTGCTAGCAAGCCACATGGAACAAAGAGTTCTCAAGGATTTCTTTACATGGATAAATGAGAGATACGGAGGACTAAAGGAAGTGACTTTCACATGGGGACGAGTTCATACCTATCTGGGAATGACGTTGGATTATTCAAAGAAAGGAAAGTTGAAGATTCAAATGGACAATTATGTCCAAAGAATGCTTGACGAATTTTCTGTTAAGTTTAAGGAAGACAACAAACAGGAAACACCTGCTGGCAATAATTTGCTGGAGGTAGGAAAAGGAAAACTTTTGGATAAGGATCAACAGACTGAGTTTCACAGGTCTGTTCTGAAACATTTGTTTTTGACCAAACGTGCACATCTGATATGCATCCGACGGTTGCAATTTTGGCGTCACAAGTTCAAAAAACAAATCAGAGTGGTTGGCATAAACTCGTAAGGCTTATGAGATACATGCACTCTACCAAGAAATGGCATCTCACGCTGAGCGCTGACAACCTTTGGGTAATGAAGTGGTTTGTTGATGCGTCTTTTGCAGTTCACCCTGATTTCAAGAGTCACACAGGAGGGGTGATGACCATGGGTGGTGGAGCTATGCAGGCTATGTCCAAGAAACAGAAGCTAAACAGTCGCAGCAGTACACATGTAGAACTAATCAGAGTAGATGATGCAATCACACAAATGTTGTGGACACGCATATTCATGGAAGAACAAGGTTATCCAATTGAGAAAAATATCTTGTATCAAGACAATATGAGCTCTATTCTCCTCAAAAAGAACGGGAGATCAAGTGCAGGAAAGAGAAGCCGTCATTGAACATCCGTTATTTCTTTGTCACTGATCAGGTCAAGGAAGGAAATCTTACGATCGAACACATGCCGACTTATGACATGTGGGGGGATTCTATGACAAAACCTTTGCAAGGAGAAAAGTTCAGCAAGTTTTGGGCATTGATCCAAGGGGATCAGGAAGATTAGAAATGACTGTTGTTGGTTATATATACATGCTACATATCGAATGAAGAAAGGGTTTGTTATCGTAACTGGAGCCGTCAAAACGACAGGGGTGTGTTGGTGAATTAGGATCCTAATAGATAAAAGAACAGTCAAACATGTTTGACAGTGAAGTCGGACATTGGTGGTATCAAACGCCGACGGGAGTACGGTTCGAGTACTTACAGAGATGGATAAGTATTGAAGGTAGATCCGGATCTGTGACTAGTTTGTGAAAAACATGTGTGTATGTGCTTTATACGCCGCGACAGCTGGTGAGAGCTGACGCAGGTGGCTTCCGGAAGAGATTTTTTCTACCTGCATGTGGAGATCATTGTTGATTGACTTCTAGCAAGAATAGCAGTAGAATAAGATCTAATAGGATGTGGTGAGACTGTTCATCCTCAGGTAGAAGCCCAGCATCACTGGCACCTGTTCCTATTGTGGGCAATCCATAGCCGACATAGATTCGAGCTCAGTATACTCCAGAGGTAGCTACAGATTTGATTATCTGACACACAAGCCTACACATCATCAAAAACACAGGACAAGCGATTGCTACAGGACTGGGACCAGGACTTCTAGCCCCATTTAGAGCCGCCACCACATACTTCCGAATCGAGCTCCGATTGGTCAAACGGCTCTGTTCCCTACAAACTGACATTGGAATTGACCCAACAAAGTTCCCACCATCTTCCAATAGAGCCGTGTATATTCCAGTGCCAAGAGTCCAGAACCAGATGGACGTATCCATCACTCGCCAAATGGTAATGGACCAAGCACATCACAAGGAAGTCATTGCAGCAATGGCAGCATTGGGAGAAGAGTTCTTGATGAGAGCCGCAACCAGAGACGGAGAGCCCGATAATGAAGCCTACAAAAAGTGGTCCAAGCAACAGATTGCAAAGACCGAATTCCAAGCACTCAAACAAGCACTCACGGCCACCTACGTTGGACTACAACAAGGAATGGAGACAGACACCAAATCAACAACTGGCAAAACTCAACATGGTCCAATACGAAGGAGGCATGATGATGTATGACAGCGTGGCTACTTTATTTGGCAGAATTGCCACAATTCTAAATGGGTTCAACCACGAGAATCCCCTGCCAACCAACCTATCAGACTTGGCAGGAGTAGCGTTCCAAGCCTTCACACAAGAAATCAAGGACGTTGTGGCTGAACACCTAGAGACGGGAGCAGCAGGACCACTACTTATGGACTACCCTAGCAACCTGTCTTGAATGTGCCGTCTACGCAAACGAGCAGAGAAAGAATAGAAGCGCATCAAGAAAATTGTGGGGATTGCAAACAGTGCAGGACAAATCAGACCCAACAGAAGGTACATTCCAGGACAATCCGCACCACCAAGACCAGGAGGACAAGCTTTTGCGGGATTCCACCAACCAGAATTCCAAGGATTCCAAGGATTCCAGGACTATTGGTCCTTCCAAGCTCCAGAGATCGAGACCGCTGGAGCCTTTCGCACCACCGCAATGATGCCCCCTCCAACTATGGCGGCAATAAAACAAAACGTTTGAGTTACTGACGGCCAAGGAAGACAATTAGTGGTCCCGGCATCCGACAGCAAACCATACTGCCCAGAAGCGGTTGTCAACATGCTGTCATGCATGAGCATTATGGGGGAACTCAGAAAACAGCATGAAGAAGAAAATGGGTGGACAACGCTCAGCCAAGCGGAAGAAGCGCTGCAAAAGGCAAGCGTCAAGCCTTACCCGATCCATTGTTGGGGATGCAACGAGGAAGGCCACAACTTCCAAGACTGCCCACACAAAGAGGACCCCCAAGAGCGGTTCAATGAAAAACTGGACCAGTGGAAGTGAAAAACGTGTACAAAGAAGCGGAGGCGGACTTGGACAGTCCCGCAACCCAAGATTGGATGTTCAAAGAACACGGAAAGACGGTAATCAAACAAAAAGCACCAGTGCAAAGGCGTGCAGACATTATCAAATGGAATACAGACAAACACTTGGAGGAACTTGAGGAGGAACTCAAGTTGCAGGTGCAATACAGAGACTGTCGCATATTTTGTAGCCACACTTGAAATCCTCCAACAATACCAAGTGACCGTCAACCTAAGAAAAACGAGGTTCCTACCAGCACGGGCAGAATTTGTGGGACGTGACCTACTGCCCAATGGAAACACCCTGGCACAATCCAAGTACTTTACAATCGAAAAGCTATGCCCACCAGCATCCTCATCGGACATCCAGATGATCAACGGACTATTTGGATGCTACTCCCAATGGATACCACATCTAGAGGAAAAGATCCAACAATGGAGGACCATGGTGATGGACAAACCTAAGCCCGGAGAATGCACAAAAGAAGAGGAAGCAGAACAAGTGAAAGCACAATGGGAGCAACAGGACGACGAAACGCTGGACGAACTCAAGCAGGCTATTGTCACCAGCCCAATATTGAAGCACCCCAATCCAAAGAGACAATTCTACTTGAAAACGGACTGGTCAAGCAATGCCATGGGAGCAGTCCTCCTACAAGCGAACACGACAGAAGAAGCAGAAGAGTCAAACAAATCAATGTCGAAACTCAGACTCAGACCCATAGCATTCATATCAACAATATGCAAGGGCAAAGAGCAAGACTACCATTCCTTTGTGGGAGAGGCGGCGACAGGTTGATGGGCAATGAATAAGTTCCGACAATGGTTCACAGGAAAAGAATTTAGGTGGATCACGGACTGCAGCGGACTAACCAAATTCTTTAAGGCGAATACAACATCACACACATGCTGCAACAATGGAAACTAGAGCTATTGGCATTCATCTTCACTATAGTTCACAGACCAGCAAAGATGCTCACAGAATGTGACCAGGACAGAACAAGTGGAGGAATACGGAAGAAGCCCACACAGACAAGGTTCGTCGCGCTGAGAAACGGTAATCTAACGTTGCTATTTGTCATACTGTATCTTTCAGGGAAAATTATTGCCTAGCGCAATAAGTCGTTTCCGATACTGCCAAAAGTTATCGATAGAAACTCATCAAAAGTATACGAGCAATGGTGCACAATTCGAGGAGTGTGTTTTGCGGTAAGTGAACACTTACCAGAAAGAGATCAACATTGTCAAAGATGGAGTGTACGGACCATTCGACTTTGAACAAGACTACAAAATACCAGACGTGGTGTGGGAAAAAGTGAGAGAGGCGGCAACACAGATGAAACTAAAAGTTGCCAACATCACACCCAAGTCAACACCACCAGGTAGAGCACACAAACGAGCGCGACACAAATGATAGACACAACTAACAAACACAAAAGAATAGACCCCAGACCATATACACCTTGAAAGCCCTGACGCTGACCCAAAGATGACCCAAGATAGCCCCAAGATAGCCTTAAACAAGTTGACCCAAGCCCCAGACCCGAACTTTATGATGATCTGTCACTTCAGACCATAGTACAAGGTGACCCAATAAAAAGCCGCCATCAACAAACTACTGAATGTTGCAGCATACAGTACAAGTCATGACTGGCAAGAGTAGCAGGAACACATAGCCCCAAATACAAAGGACCAGATATAGCAATCCCTTACCCCCCAATACGTGTGTACCACGACTAAGATGAGGACTGATCCTCCCATTCTGACCATCCTACGCGAAGCACCTAAACAAACTTTGGACCTGGACACAACTGTCAGACATTTGAAGCCGCTTGCCAGCAACCTGGACAACAGAGAGAGTCCTGCAGCCCAATTTGCAATTCAAGGTTAGATGGCAATTTTTCTTCTGCTACCTTGTTTGATGCCAGCAGCCATTCATCAAGAAGAGGGAGGTGAAAACAGACCAAGATGAACAACATAGTTGCCTAAATAGAAGAAGAGGGGATGTAATGTGACTGAATGGACTGCCGAGTCCCAGGAAGATGTACTAGAGCAATCGAAGGCCAACAGTCATCGCTGAATATTCAGCCCAAGATCAATCAACCATCATCTACTCACAGCTGCTTCAGACCCAGTGACTACAACCCAATAGCAATATCAATCACTTTCTATCATGTCCAACAGTAGCTACATCAATGCACTAGTATGCTCTCTCTACGATGAAAGTCAGGAGCATAACGATAGCACGTTAAGTTATATTTCATCAAAAAGTCGGATACACCGGAAAATCTCTTTGGGGGTGACCGAAGGGGAATTCTCGATTTTGACTCATCTCCCCGGAATTTGGCGGTGTCGAAATTTGCCACACAGTCATGATCGGTCACAACTAATATTAGACTTTTGCTCCACCTGAATTGTCTGCAAGTACTTTACAATGATGAAACGCAAGAGAGGTAGTCAGAATCTACAACTGCTTCTCCATTTAATCACATTGATCATTGGATGGATTTGGGGTCTATCCACAAATTCTAGAATGCTCAGTGCAGAACTTTCGACAACCTACATCTCTGATCTGCGAGCCTTGGCACCGTTGGAACGTTCCGTCAGAAGCAAGCAATTTTCTTTTATCGTAAACAGAAAAAATCACTCATCAGTCACAGACACAATCACACCATTTCATCGGTATGTGATGGAATTAAGCGCTCCCAGTTCTCACAATTTTCCTGACCTTCCCTTGTTCGATTCGTGGCTGCACTACTTTGAAGCCTACCACAACCACATGGCAAGATTCAGGAAGAAGAATAATGTTGTTTTCATGGAAATTGGTGTGCAGAGTGGTGGAAAGATTCCAGTGCTGCGAAAATATTTCGGGCCTGGGCTCACCTATGTCGGCATTGACATCAATCCGTCAACCAAAATGTTCGAAACATCTGAAAATGACGACTTCAATGTTCACATCGAAATAGGCGATAGCACTGACGGGAAATTCTTGGACGAGATTAAAGCCAAGTATCCTCATGTTGATATATTTCTTGACGATGGTGGGCATACTATGGAGCAGCAGATGTTTACAATCAAACACATGCTTCCACATGTGCAATCACAGGGTGTCTACATGTGTGAAGACTTAGCAACTTCTTGGCTTAAAAAATTCGGGGGCTTACCAAATGAGCACGTAAGTAACAGCCCTGAGTTCCTTAAACATACCATGGTTGGTCTGGTCCATCAAACCATGGACTGGCTGCTAGCGTCATCGGTAAGTGGTAAGAGTATCATAACTAGACCTGATCTTGATCAGGTCGCCGATGATGTCTTCGATAGTAGCTGGTGGAAAGTGATTCCATCTCAAGTGAAGCATATTCATTACTACAACCAAATTGTTGTGTATGAAAAAGGCGTCACATACAAACCATCACCATACCGAACAATCGGAAAACAGATACCGTACAAAGAGTCTGGTACCTACGACTCATTGGATTGGACCATTATCATGGAGAAACTGGATTCGATTTTTGGTGAATCGCTGCTGTCCTGATTCGTTTCCGTGAAAATGCCTCCGTGCGAATGCCAAGAACACGTTGGATAAAATACCAACTTAGGAGGGGGCAACCTTTCTCTCCCTGAATATTATTCAGATCATTAAGAACGGCTGTTTTGTCTAACGAAAACATGATTTAGTGCGCTTTTGATTGCGTCCTCCAACCCATGGTTTCCAAGCGACTATTTTTGTTTTTTCAATCAACCAATAGAATTGCAGGGTTTTCATGACAACTTTGAATACCCCATTTTTGGTCATTTTGATGACACGATACGAATGTATTTTGGAAAAACCTCAGTAGTTCAGGACTACAATGTTTCGCGTAAAAACTTTTTCACTAGATATTTTCCTAAGTGCTCCCGACGAATTGCTCCTCTTGATTTCTGTGGCAATGTTGTATGCAGAAGACTTGTCAACAGCATTGATATGTCTCAACAACGTGCGTTATCGCTCATGTATTCCCCTGCAGAACCTGAAGACTGACCCTGTATTTGAAGCATTGGATAAGATATTCCGCCGCTACAACAAGGCAGGCTTTCAAGTCAAGATCATCAAGTGTGATTGGGCGTTCATTCCTCTCACGGATGATATGCTAGACGACATGGGTGTTACTATTGACCCAACTGCAGCTGGAGACCACAAACCTACCGCTGAGCGAAACAATTGGATGCTGAAAGAAAGAGCCAGAGTAGCTCTTGCACGATTACCCTACAAAGTGGTCCCAAAAGTGATCACTGAATGTTGTGGACGTTGAGCCGCTGAGCTATTGAATGTCTTTCCCCAGAAAGACAGTATCTCATCACATTTCAGTCCGCAGCAAGTCATTGATAATGTCAATATCAACTACAAGAGTGACATGCTTGCTGAACCTGGACAATATGTTCATGCAATTGGGACGGATTCCAACAATTCGATGGAACCCAGAAGTATTGAAGCAATTTACATTGAACCTATGAAGGGACAACGTACTGGGCACCGCGTGCTCAACCTCAATACTAAGAAGATGATTTCCTGACCCAAGGTCTTTGTACTACCCGTTACCAATCAAGTAATCCAGCTTGTTGAAGCTTGGGCTGTTGCCAAAGGTGTTACTTCCATGAAGTTCTTTGATAAGAAGAGAGATTTGGAGACATTTCAAGATGGCAATCAAAACGCAGGAGTGGATGACACAGAACAAGGTTACTTAGAAGAAGCCTTTGATCAGGACTATGAACCTGAAGATGAAGATGAACGTGATTTCAACCTACATGGACAATTCGATGATATCAATGGCTCCAAAAGAGAAGAGCTCTTGGCAGATGCAGACAATGATGTTGATGATATGCCAGAACTCACTGTCAGATTCCAAGGAGATGATGACTATGAATCAGACAACAATTCGGGTGATGAAGGCGATGAAGAGGAAGAACTTAATGTGGCTGATTGGGATCACCATCAAGAGAATGTCGATAGAGGAACCGATGAAATTGGGAGCCTTGTTACTGATCTGGAGGACCTACAAGAGCCACCAAAAGAAGAGATTGTATTTGAGCCTGAAGAGCCTCAAGTAGCAAAAATCACTCAATCTGGGCAAACGTATGCGCAAGCTGCAATGTCTGGGCTGAACCTTTCTCAAGTTCCAAAGAAACCAAGAGAATGGCCTTCAAGCAGGAGTGGCAGTTCTGCCAATAAGAACAAGAATCAAGTTGCAACAAGACGCAAGCATCAAGAGAAGAGTTGGGCACTTGAAACCGTTGAAGAACAAGTTAAAATCTGGTATTTGTACAAAAGAAGGAAGTCGCAGTACAAAAGACAGTAAAGCTATCCTTGAAGCACAGCACAATCTATGTTTCCAACATATTGGGAATGAGATGAAAGCTGATTATGAAGAGCACGATGCTATTCTGATCGCTCGTTGCATGATGCAGATCAAGGCCAAGTTCGATACTGACGAAGGTCTGAACTTCATTCAACAGTATTACATCAATCAAGGACTTAAGAAGTTTGGTGATGATGGAAAGGATGCTGTGGATAAGGAATTGAGACAAATGCTCCTGAGAGATTGTTTCACTCCCAAATTTGTCAAAGACATGACCGCGTCTGAGCGAAAGAAGGCACAATCAGCGATGATGTTACTCACGGAGAAGCAATTGGAAAAGACAATTAAAGGCTGCCTAGTATTCCGAGGCGATGGAACTCGTGAATGGTTATCGCGAGAGGACACTGCTGAACTTCATTCAACAGTATTACATAAATCAAGGACTGAAGAAGTCTGGTGATGATGAAAGCCCAATCAGCAATGATGTTACTCGCAGAGAAGCAATTTGAAAAGACAATTAAAGGCTGCCTAGTATTCCGAGGCGATGGAACTCGTGAATGGTTATCGCGAGAGGACACTGCAAGTCCAACTGCTTCGCAGGAAGCAATCACCACTACTTGTGTTATTGATGCACACGAAGGTAGAGATATAATGACGCTGGACGTGCCTAACGCTTTCATTCAAACTTATATGCCTGATGCTAAGGAAGGAGAAGATCGCGTCTACATGAAAATCACTGGCATGATGGTCCAGATATTGATTGACATGGCCCCAGAGTATCGCAAATACGTTGTATTAGAGAACGGAAAGCGAGTAATCTATGTGCGGGTACTACGTGCTATATATGGGATGTTGCAATCGAGCCTCCTATTCTATAATCAATTTCGAAGTGATTTGGAGGCAAAGGGATTTGTTTTCAATCCGTATGACCCATGTGTTGCTAACAAAGTTGTTGATGAAAAACAGCAAACTATCAGATTTCATGTTGACGATCTTATGTCAAGTCACATGGATCCAAAAGTAAATGACAAATTTGCTGAATGGTTGAACATGAGATATGGTTCGGTTCAGGCATGTAAAATCATCAGAGGAAAAATACACAGATATCTTGGAATGACTTTGGATTTCTCGGTGAAAGGAAAACTCAAAATCCGCATGAACATGTTGGAAGATATTCCTATTAAGTTCAACAAGGATTCAAAGCAGGAAATACCAGCTGGTAACAATTTACTGGAAGCTGGTAAAGGGAAGTTACTCAGTGCTGAGTACCGTCAGATCTTCCATACTACTGTTCCAAGAGGACTTTATGTCTCTAAGCGAGCTCGTTTGGATATCCAGTCTGATTGGAAGAAGTGTGTTCGCATGATGCGATATTTGTTTTGTACATCGTTGTATCACCTGACACTTTCTGCAGAATCACTACAAGTCATGAAATGGATGATCAACGCATCATTTGCAGTGCATCCAGATTTCAAGAGCCATACTGGCGGCACTCTGTCCTTTGGAGGAGGTGTAGTCTCAAGTGATGTTGAAGAAACAAAAGCTAAACAGCAGAAGCAGTACGGAAGCGGAACTGATTGCTGTTGACGATGTTGTCACAATGATACTATGGACAAAGTTGTTTATGAAGTGGCAAGGGTATCCAATCAAGAAGAATATCTTGTATCAGGATAACAAAAGCGTGATTCTACTGGAAGAGAATGGTCGCAATAGCACGGGCAAAAGAAGCGGAGCCCTCAATATTCGTTATTTGTTTATCACAGATCAAGTTGAGAAAGGAAATGTTAAGATCGAATGCTGTCCAACTGACAATATGATTGCGGATTTCGCAAGTTCAGGGATCTGATTCTTGGTCCACAGGAATAGGTTAGACAAGTATGTATATGTTCAAAATGAAAATACCAAACAAAAATAAACAGTGAATGAGAGCATGTCCCATTGCTGCCAATGGTGATTGTCACAATGACGAAATATGAGTTTTTACGTTCCAAAAAGAAACTATTCAAGTACAAAGTTTTCGACACGTACGATCGGACTTTGATCGTGAGGTCGGGATTTGACGCAAGTATGCCAGACGCAAGTATGCCAGACGCAAGTCTGTTGGACAATCTACATCCACACAAAAAGGGAATGACCCTATACAAGTGAGAAATTGGTGTTGTGTACAAGGCAGTAGGGAGTAATACAAGATGTCCCAAAGTACTGCATTCAACACAGAATTGTTGTAGAAGTCAAATCAAGTTCTGTAAACAAGGGATTTTCCAAGGGGAAATTGTTGAACTTACTTTTGTGACTGAATCATCATTTCAAGCCAAATATTAATCAAATAGGAACAATTTCACTCAAAGTATACCTAGACACAGGAGAACTATTGTCGTGAAAGAGTTGTAGAGTCGATTACAAATTTAGATTGCAGAGAGTTTTTTCTGAGCGCTAAAGGCACTCACGATAAAGCACATTTTGCTTTATTCTAGCATGATGAGTCCAAATAGATTTCTAGCTATACAAGTGAGATATCGATGTTGTGTACGATGCAGTAGGGAATAATACAAGATGTCCCAAAGTACTGCATTCAACACAGAATTGTCATAGAGGTCGAATCAAGTTCTGTAAACAAGGGATTTTCCTAGGGAAAATGGTTGAACTTACTTTTGTGATTGAATCATCAATTCAAGCCAAATATTAATCAAATAGGAACAATTTCACTCAAAGTATACCTAGACAAAGGAGAACTATTGTCGTGAAAGTGTTGTACAGTCGATTACA